TTTCTGAAATTGCGAAATTTTGAGCTAAACAAAATTTTGACAGACAACTTTTGAGTTCTCGGGAAACTTTATATGCCATTATTTAAAGCATAAATACTCATAAGCATAACAATGTGAACGAATTGTCACTAATGTAAATATTAAAGATATGTGAAAAGTCAAAAGAATTACATTTTGTAATTTTTTCAAAAATTACAACAACAAATAGAGTAATATGCTGTTGAAGTCATCTTATAGAGTACACTTATTACTATCACTACCAGAAGTTTAAAGGAAAAAATTGTAGGCGTTTTTGAGAAAATCTTGTTTTTGTTATTTAGTATTGCTCGTATTGCAAGGCAACATTACGCGAAAGCTACTACAATTTTTAAAAAAAAATACACGTGACGTTCTTAATAGAACTAACTATGGGGAAAAAATTTACTTGTAGGAATAATCTCCATCTTCAATTTGTATTGGGAAAACGGCGGAAAACATTCGAACTTAACCAATTTTCAAAAATTCAGAGTTTACAGTGAAAATGGACCTATGCTCTTATTATGACGGACCTGCCTTATTATTGTATTCTTTCAAAAAATTTAAAGAAATCATTTACAGCTAATGTTGAGAAAATTTTGAAAATTACCATGGAGCTTAATGTAAAGTAGCCCTAACTTTTAAAGAAAGATTTTTCAAAATCGCAACGCATTGAGTACAGACATCGACTGAATACTATCCGTTTTGGAAAAAAACCCTAAGAATGGTTTAGGCGCTAGTGGTGTTCACAGATAATGATCGGACGGACGGAGAGACAGAGAGTCAGACAGACAGACAAAAGAACGGACGTTTAAAAAAAACACTTTTTTTAACTTTCTTTACACTGTGTATATTACTCCTATATACGTACGTATACGAGAAACTAAAAACTAAAACGTTTCTGAAATCAAGAACACTTTTACGCCAAAAAATGTCATTTTATTTTTGCTAATAATCTAAGAAATTAATGGCCAATCTAATTGATTTAGTTTTTTGTAGAATGTTTTGAAATAAGTATCACAAAAAATACTCCACACCGTTAGATAGTTTTGGGGTTGTGCTGAATGACAAAAGAATATTACATACGGGTAAATGGTAATAATGTATGTGACGTCTCAATCTCACATCGAATTTGAATAAAGCGACGACGCTACCCAACCCCGTGTTTGGACAACCGTTTGCGTCAAGCAATAGAATGAGCAATGCGTTAAGTAAAGGAATATAAATTAAATACGAAATAACTAGAAACACCTTTATTGTACAAAAGCAAACGGATTCCAGTCGTGTCGTAACACTTTTGTTTGTAAATAATAAAACAGAAACGTTGCTAAGACGAAAGACAATTGCGAAGCGTTAGGAGTGTTTCATACACGCTCCGCATTGTTTTACACACTGTGACAAAACTAGCTGTTTTGCACAGGGAAAACAAGCATCAGAAATCGTATTTCGCGCACGGCGTGTTAAAAAAATGTTTTCGTATTTGCAGGCGGAGACCTCTGAAGTCTTTCAGAAGACCATTCGGCCCATAGCAGAAGGATGTAAAGCGTCTGCAAAAGCTACAGACGGTGAGTCTTTAAGGCCTATTCAAAAAGCAAACAGAAACATAAGTATGGAGTAAATACAGAAGTTAGTACTACATCAATAAGCGGGCACATTCACAATGCGTTCGCATAACACGTAAGACGTTAACTTAAAAGCTTCAAGCTTCTGTGCTAATTCTTAAGTAAGACGTAAGAAATGAACCAAGTACAGTACATTTACTCAAAATCTAGTATCGAAATAGAATCGAAATCGATAGATTGCGTGGGACGAACAAAAAACCAGTCAGTACTACAGACGTATACTGTATAGAACTCATTGCCAACGACTGTGATTTGGTTTTACTGATTGCGTCCTGCGTGTACACTAGTTTAAATCGAACCCATGGGCAATGGACACTGTCGATATCTTGAAATCGATTCTCATATTCAATAATAGTAAACTAGAATGTCTCGTAGCCTATAGAAACTCTAATGTTGCTTACGTTTATGTTAGACATTGTGAATACTTCAGTCTGTCACTTATGTTAATGTTTACGTCTATGCATTATGCTTATCTTTACGTTTGCATTTTGAATGAATTCTCTGTTCTAATTCGTAAGACTGGCGTACACAGTGAACCCGTTTTGCGTCCAAATTCTGCTCGGCTGATGTCGGACGTTTGTGCCCAATGTGCCGGATTTGTTCAAATACTGTTATGAAATCAAAACATAAATCGTTCAAATTGTATCAACTCGGAAAAAAGAGACACTTGAGGTATACAGCTATGGATGCAACTTTGTTTGTGTGTGAGAGAGAGAGAGGGAGAGGGAGAGAGAGACTCGGGTTCGTAAGAAATGGATGATTAAAATGCATAAATGTAGGTCGAAATATTGGATGTGATATTCTGGTTTAAATACCTAAATAGTAGCGTCTTCAAGAGATTAGAAGATTGGCGAATCCTTGGAGTACGTAGAACATTAAACGGTGGTTCTAGAATACGGAACAAAATATCCGCGGAAGCGGAGAAGGGGGCAGTGGTAACCCGAATTGACGAACAAAATATTTTTATTGCGTTGGATCTTAGTATTTTAATTAAAATTCTCTCGAGAGATATACGAACGGACAGCGCCGTTGGGTAAATGAAAAACAAGGCAGCTGAATTTATTGGAGATATCAACGATAACGGGCATCATCGGGTGCATGCACTGTTGCAGGACATAAGATCTTTAGATCTGGTTTAAAAATGCAAATAGGAGCGTCTTCAAGAAAGACGTCCTGGTTATTGAACATGGTCGAAATGGACTCAAACAACTTCTTCCGACGACGAAAATCATCCGCTGTTGGAAGAAGATACGTTTCTTTCGGCTCATCTTTTCGAACCATATTTTTTTGAGGCCACACTGCATTTGACTGTACTAAACATTCATATTACGTTTAGGCGGTTTGTAATGTAATAGAAAAGACAAAAAATTCTCGATGGCAGCTTTTTTTGATGGAGAACATCTCGGATGCTACAGGGTAATTTTGTAAACAAAATCGCCGTCTTCAATTGGGGAGGTTAGATTTCTATTTGGCAGAAATTGTCAATAGCCCATTTAATCGATTTCTTCTGCAATTTGCAGCCGTAATTTCTAATTCTTGAATCGGCGTGCCGCGGCGGACTTACACAGGGGTTTTCGTACACTAACAAAACTAGTTTGGCGTAGGTCAGTTCAACAGAATATTTCATGTTCTTTTGATACCTTTGTGTCGACCAGGAGGATCAGTCAAATTTGCCAGAACATGCAATGCGATTGTACTGCACTCTAGTGTGTAAATAAAAAAAATTGTACTGAACCAACAAGTTATTTATATTACTGGTAAAATGTGGTGTCGCTGACGCTGTAAACCGATTAATGGGTGGAAAATTTCTTTCATACTTCATTTCGTTCATGCCCTGATGTGTTCATATATGCCCAGCTGTTTCAGTATCTGGCATTGGGCTTACCAATGAATCATAGTAGCTAATGATGTTATACTCAAGTTTAAATATTTCCAACACCCAATAGCCTTATGCCTTACCTCCATACGGGATTTGATCTGAACTTATTGCAATTTCAAAATTATAAACGACTTAACAAATATTTGCAGGTTTTGATCTTATTAGTTAAATTTTAGTACAGCTACGTTTTACGCTTTTTTCTAATATTCACAAAAATGTAGATATCACATTTCCATTTGCACAAATGCTAAATGCAAAAATGCATATCGTTCCCAATTAGTTCCGAAAATTCTGTCGCAACATCGTTTACAACAACATTTGACACTGCCATATTTTTTCTTCCCTAGTGAAGAAATTAAAACTTCCCCAACTCCTTGTAATTTATGTTAATTTCTTCTTCTGAAATTGCCCTATTAATCGTATCGTATGCGAATCTAGCGTTGCATGAGAATATAACATTAAAAGACGACTGTTTTGTATGTTTATATGAATAAGATGTTAGTGAAGTTTAATAAGAATAAGTTGTGGGTCACATTCATTTGAAAATCAGAATTTGGTCACTTATGTAAGAACGTAAAAGTGATAAGTAGAAGATACGAACGTTCATTCATTCTCTAGCATTACTCACAGTTTTGTTTTCTCCGTTTTTACTTGAAATTCATGAAGATTAATAAATTTCGAGAGAATACTGTGGGTAGGTTTTTACATTTTTTAAAAAAGGGCAATAATTCCAATAAAAATTGGAATATACAGCTCCATTCACTTGGTAATCAAATATTGTTCACTTAAAGATGTCGACATCAGTCTTGCCAACGTCGTGAAAGAAAATTACCTATGGGTACTAAAGTTTAATCAACGCCAGAAACATTGGTCAACTTAGGAAGCGTTGGTTAAATACCTGGCATTATCACTAAAAAGCACCAAAACACGAAAAATCATGTTTGGGAAATTTCTTTGAATCTTCTGCCCCGATCCGAAAACAATACGACTTGATTGGTGCCCGGGAAGTGGTTTAGCTGTAAGTGACGGAACAGCACATCCGAACATACGCACACATTGAATTTTACTCAAATAGTGTATGAGGATGAAACATTGTTATTAACAGGCAGTTTTCAGATTTTCTTTTCATTACGTATTGCACACATTCATGCGGACTCTTTTACTACACTGTATAGAAGGGCCGGTTGTCTGATGCAGTCAAATGGAATGTGACCATTACCATTCAATAGAAGTAGACGACCTTTCACACTCTCATATTTCTACTCCCATCGCCGATCCACTTTTACCGCATCTTTTTGTGCAATAATTTTTTTATTATAATTAGTATCAAGAAGACGTCCCCGAGGATTTCGCACAATATCCTCAAATCTCATTTCCTAGTATCAAACGCAAATGGAGGTCGGTTTTTAATAATCCAATGATTCATCGAAATATTATTTTTCAGTGTTTTTAAATAATGTACGAGTTAAAAAAAAGTTTAAAATATGTCAAAAACGGCAACTCTGCGTGTATAACAAACTTAATATCACTTGAGTTCCGAAATATGAAGACAATATTCTGAGTTTATTACTTTCCAAATATTATGTACAATAATGATGCAGTTTTTTTCTGTAATTTCCAGAGGATGTAGAAACGGTTGTTCATCTGAAAAAGGATTTCACTCCAGAAGGAAAGGTGAGTTTAGAGTATAAGGACTATTGGCAACCTTTTTTAACGGAATTTTATAGAGCAGCCTGAAATTGCTGTGACAACCACAGGTATAAGTGGAATAAATGTAGCTAGTGCTACTTTCTCACTCGTACTTTAACTCAAAATTACGCGAAAAGTACTCAAAAATTCGAAAAATTGTACATTATCTTATCCCAAATCTATCTTTAAAAAACAGATTCCATTAAGGGAAAATCTGTTTCATTAATATTTTAGTTGTAGGAAGACACCGAACAAATTTTGGACTATTGCAATTTTCGAAAAGTCAAGGCTTTCAACGAACGTGAGACATGCACCAATCTTTTAAACGTTCTTCACACACAAAATCAAAAGCATAGAGTAAAGTTTTTGAAAATTTAAAAAAACCGTTCCGGAGGCTATAAGTAAAGTACTCCATAAAAAATATCGTTCCAAATTCAAGGGACCACATCATCAGCCAGATTTATTGGGGAATACCAATTTTGGATAAAATTGGCGGAACGGTTTAGCCGCTAGCGTTGTTCACAGTCAGACAGACGTTTTGATGTCTTTGGGTAAAAAGGACCCCAAAACATGGATTCCGGTTACATCATGTGTTAGAGGATTTTTCTTCCAAATTTAGCACATGGTTGTATCCGCATTCTCGTTACCACGGCCCTGAAATAAGATTTTTTGCCGAAAATGCGTCGTTTGTTCGCGCAGCATTATATAACTTTGTGTCCGCTTTGTTGCCAGAAAGCAAAAACCAGTGCCCCAATTAAGTTGGAGCCTAGAGCAAGTTGCTCTACTGGACGCCCCTCTGTCCACACGACACGGCGTGTTGCAGTGTCTTGTTTAGTTGACGTGCGCTCACTGGCGGACGCACGGGCTATGGCCCTTTCCAAAATGTTTACCTTCCTTTATTTGGCAAATTTTACTTAAATATTTATTTATATTGGAATTACTTAATTTTTTTTACAATAATATTCTATAGTATCATGGACGCATGGAAAATTTTGTAGGGAAGGCGAGCATCAAAATGGATATTAATGGGTTCGGGGCTCATTGAATGAAATTTTGAGAAACTACACAAAAAACACAAGTCCCTTCATACTTAATGTAATTAAAAAACACATGTTACAACATCCTGTACAGTATTTCAATCTACCTTTACTAGTGATACGTGGAACTAAAACAACAATCAAAGGCATACAGAAACATAACCTTACACAATAATCAAATACCTAACATCTTATAATTCAAGCAAAGAAGTATTTTGAAATCAGAAGAGTTCTCATCTATCTTCCACACACAAAAGATTTGCAATACCACCCCAAGCGACTGTCAGTGTTTTTTCTTTGGAGTCGGTGGCCGGCGTGAGTTCAGAACTCACTAGCCTAGGTGGCGTTGTCCAACTGAGGGCGGCAATCGCGCGGGCATTTCAAATTTGTGGTGCCTGCCTCATGTGAGAGTCACTATATATATATATATATATATATATATATATATATATATATATATATATATATATATATATAATTTAACAAGATCAACGATGCCCCCCGAAAAATGATGGCGCTGGACCCGCCCCTGTGACGGCGTGCCGCGTGTTGCAGTGCCTGATGGCGTGCGTGATGGAGGCCATCGGGGTGATGCGTGACGGCACCATGGCGTCCGAAGAGGAGATCCTTAAGCCCTACCGCTCCCTCTTCGCCGACGACCCGCGCCGCCTCTCCAAGGCGGACGAGGTGGTCAGGAACTGCAGGGTAGAAGGTGAGATGATTGATTCATTGATTGATTAAATGTTAGTGATTCCGGGCGCCTCTACTGCTAAAGTCATGAGTCCCGTAAGTGTGGTGCATGTTTCCTTCCCTCGAGAGGTGGCGGTGATCTTTCCCTGCTGATAAGCGAGATCCGGCGCCGACCTACCATCGGCTAGCGGGGTTTTCCCCAAGCAAGTATCTCCCTCCAGCGGGCAGCGGGCACCGCCCCAGACGGGACACGCTCTAATTTTACGACCGCCCTCCCGGCATGTCTGGTAGTGTAGTGCATGTTAGTGTAATTGTGTGTAAATAATGGGTAAGGATGGGGGCAAGGAAGAGAAAGGAAACATTTCACGCGGTTTCTTTGTCCGCGGTTTTTAACGTACCGCACCGGCTTTCGCCTGGTATTGAGAGAGATCTGATACTGGGAGAAACAACGAATAACGACCGATCGGAGCAGCCGACCGTTAAAAATCTTCTCCAGACAGCGGCTGAATTTGACCTAGGTATTTACCCAGTATCAAAAATCACTAATCCTACAGCCTCCCAGTCAGGGATACTGCAGATCCAGCAGTTCTTCTGCCGTTGAGCAATCTCACCTTGATCGCACTGATAACCGACACTCGCGTTTTATAACCAAAGCCGTTTTAACAGCATGGGGGGTCACTTTCACCAATCCTCCCTCCCCCAATGTTGATACTGAAATATAAAGAAAATCCATCAATTTTATAAAATCATAATAATCTTCGTCTCTTGATTCGTATGTATTGGTGGAATTGTAGTTTCTTTCGACATTTTGGAGAGGTCCGTGTTATCGTCTTATTCTTCCGGCAACGGTTGAAATCAATTTTCTACAGCCACCTAAAAAATATAACTTGGAGTAACATTAGATGGGCGTTTTGAATTATTACTAGTCTCACTGATTGAAGCACGTTTGTCCGAGGTAGAACAAAATGCGGAATAGAAGTGAACGCAGTGCTCGTTGTTAACACCGCAATGCTCACGCGCTGACTCCGGGCCCGCATCAATTTATTTTTTTCTTACCTTTTAATATTTTCGTCTTATGTATGCAACGATATTTCAATATCACAAAATAAGACGTGCACAAGTAAAAAAAAGCGATATTGGGGTACATGTGAACCCCGCTTGGTATGCGAAGGGTTACTCTCCACCGCGATATGGGATCACCAGGGCCATGACCTGGTTAGCTCTAGCGGGGGGGGGGGGCACTTCTGTCAGGGCGGAGCGACCATTCACGAGAAAGGTAGGTCAGCACCATTCTGAAGCCGAGCGCCGGGTGACCCACGACGACCCGAGTCGGTTGTATTTCGACTGATTTTCGACACTATATCAACTCGAACGTGGACTTTTCGCAGTGGCTTACATTATAAATTAATAGATGGGGCAACTTTTTTCAGTGGATGAATTATTGCGGACGAATTTTTCTGCAATTCCTACCCTTATTTATTCATTATCTACTCGAAAAAACAGGCGATATTTTGGTTTTTATTTAATTTTGCAACTAACTGCCGGAACTTGTTGGCAGTATATCTTAAGCTTATGTTTATCGACAATGTGAACAAATATGCCATTATCTAGAGCAATATTAAGTCGTCAGCTACTAATATATTTGTGATGCATTACATAGTATCACAGCTCAACATGTTCGTATTTTCGTTACAAATATTATTTTTGTGACACACTTGTTGAGTATTAAAATGTATAGTTTTTTGGGTAGTAATTGTGTTGTATTAGTATTGTTTTTCATATTTTATTCTTTTAATATTCTGCAATGCTTATTAATGATTTTCTTTAATTTTCTTATACGACACACTGATGAGTAAAGAACTATGAAATTCGTTGTAAACATACAAGGAAATGCGGAGGATAAACGTCTGTTCTCCGTCAACTTTTTATTATGTGGTTTAGATTTAAAAATCTCACTAGTTATGTGCGAAACGGAAATACGTCGGTAACAATAGAGTTAAAATACTTTGCTTGTGTTGCAGCTCTACAAAAATCGCAGAAATGCGACATCGCCCATGTTGCCGCTTTTTGCACCATAGTGAACACCTATTGAAGTCACGAGGGATCGTGAGAACATTGTCGATCTTTGCTGTTGTGCAGAAGCCAAGATCAACATTTGTATAATTGTATCAAAGACGATTATATCCATAATAAATGTTAACTTTCTGTCTATTTCTCTTGTTTTTTCGGCTCCTTATATTGTTAACTTTTGCGCTGAATATTTGAATTGTAACTACACTAATACATTTGCCTCTCACCTAAGCACACTCCTTGCATCTCACCACACTCTTTCACCTCAACGTGATCTTTTCACCTCAGCACACCTCTTTCACCTCAGCACGTCCCTTCACCACACCACACCCCTTTCACCTGAACATGCCCTTATCACCTCAGCTCGCCTCTTTCACGCCAGTACACCCCTTTCATGTCCGCACGCATTTATCACCTCAGCTCGCCCGTTTCATGTCACTATACCCCTTTCACCTCACCACATGCCTTTCACATCATCATGATCTTATCACCTCAGTTCATTCCTTTCACCCCAGCACACATCTTTCGCCTCAGTATGCCTTTTTCATCTAAAAACGCTTCTTTCACCTCAGCACGCTCCTTCATTTCAGAACGGCCTTCATTTCGGTACACCTGTCTGGACTGTGCACTTAAAAAGAGAAAGTAGGCTGTATATTGCATGTATATTACTTATGCACAGCCTAGAGCCCTACAGACCTCAGTTAAGGCCTGATCCTAATCAGTGCAAGATTTAGGCGAAATGTGGCTAAAACAATTACAACTCATTTCAATATACACATTTCATGGAAATAACTTATTATACTATGTATTCTGAAAGCGAGGACAAAATCACGTTAGCCCACTGAACCGAATAGTGGTTAAAGTCCGTGACGGATTGCTTAGCAGAGACAGCACCGAGAGCCCTGGTGAATTGTTTACTGAACACTTTGTTCAGTGGAATTAATGCAGTTCTCTTATGACAGAAACGACAGAAGACTTTTTGGCTCTGTCGCTATTCGGCAGAGTGTGGAACAGCGTAAGTCGCACATTGTGTGCGTGAAGTTCGCAGTGAAAGCTCGGTGTATCCAAACAGCAAAATTCCGTTGTTCATGACCAGAGCAAGGTATCAAGTGTGACGAAATTGTCTACGTAATTAGTACGAGACCCGATAATTGATCGTCAATGCAATAATTCACTGATTATTGATTTCAACTGCTTAGGTCATTAGTCCCGTACGTGTAGTGCATGTTTTCCGTCGGGAGGTTGCGGTGATTTTCCCCCACTGGTTTTCCTACACTGGATTGGGAAACCACCGCCGACCTTACGTTGGCTAGAGGGGTTTTCCCCCAACCAGTTATCTCCTGCCAGCGCATCACCACACCAGCCGGGACAAGCTCTAAGCTTACGACTGGTCTCCTGCCTTGTGTGGTAGTATAGTGCATTTAAGTGAAGGGTGTGTATGTAAAAGATGAGGATAGCGCAAGAAAATGGAAAGAAAGATGGTGTGCAGTCCGTGGCCCGTTTGTTAGAGTGCTGCTCCGGCATTCTCCTAGTGTTGATCGGAGAAACCATGGGACACTACCGATCTGAGCTGCCGGCCGCTAGTATTCTCCTCCAGACTTTGACTGAATTACACCTAGCATAATGTCGAAAATCCTGCTACCGTCATGACTCAAACCTAGGACCTCCCAGTCAGAGGCAATGCAGTGACATCCCTGCCTGAGCCCTGGTAGTGTGATACTAATTATAAGAAATCAGTTTTAGAAAAACAGTACAAATTTACAAACCAACCCAAAAATATTTGCGAACCACTGAATGGATAATGTTCTTCCCAAATTAACTTTTGCAACCAATGTAGCATCACATGCAACACAATTTAAGTGCAAAATAGAAAAAAAAATTGAAACGAGAAACACAATGCCCTCATTTGACCCACGTTTCAGGTAGCATTCCTTTTTTACTTTTCACTGTAAACAGAATGGCCGAGTTTCTCGCCAAACCGGTCTTGCAACCAGATGCAAATTAAGCTCCAAATACAATGAACCAGCGCCACATGCCAAATGGTGTGATAATCTGAGACTTCAAGCAACTAATTAAAACTTCGACTGAAACCAGGAAAAACAATTTAAAACAATTAACATATTTCCGTGAATTCACGGCCGCATACTCTCTAAAATATCTGTAGGTGCCAAGAGAGTGCTCATGGCCCGCTGTGACATTTCGCACAGTGTGCCCGAAACAAAAGAAAAGGACATAATCGCTTCCACGCGCCTGGAGACGGCGCGGTTAATAAGTACTTAAGAACAGAAAGAAAATATCTAAAAAGGATAAGAAGAAATGGAAAGAAATCTAATAAAAAGAAAAAAATAGAAGGAGCTTCAAACATATTTTGTGAAATCCTGTCGACTTTTCTCAGTCCTGGACAGATGTAAGCGATTGTTTAATTTGTAAATCAATACTATGCGCTTTTATTTCAATTCTGTTGGCATCTGTATCATAGAATAAAAAAATATAGTTACCTCATCCTTCGTCAGTTTGCAGCTCTCAATTCAACGATTTTAATAACAAATTATTACTATTTTTACTTTAAAACTATAAAGTATTCATTAAATATTAAACGTAATATTTTTAGTTTAATTATAAAAATTATTACTAAAAGCATTTTAAGATCATTTATATTATATTCAAGATATACAAATCCCCCCCCCCAACTTCGTCTCTGGATGCGACCGTGTATAAAGACAAGCTAAATGTGAAAACATATCAATGACAAAAATGAAGAACTCTGAAAATAAGAGGGGAAGATACAGATGAAACCATTACAAAAGATGTTAGAATCCCAATGACATCCGGTCAGGTGCTTAGGACGCAAATTCTAGAGGTGAAAATTGACGGTGCTATAACATAGCTCAGATTTTCTCAGAACAATATCTCCAAAAATTACGTTAAGTAGTTTAATAAAAAAAAGTGTTGGTAAAATTTACTCTATTGGAACAACAGATAGAAAGACAAAATTCGGAGGTTTGGAGAGGATTTTTAAAGTGCATGCGCATTTTCGAAATTTAATGTTCTCTTTTTAAAAAATCGCACAGACTTTTTAGAATCGAGTGTGTTCAAAGAGGGAGTTGTTGTAAAAAATACTTAGTTTATATCGTATTTCTTTTTCTCTCTTCCCAAAGCATGTATTTCCGTCAAAATTTAGAGATGGAAATATTGCACGATTATTCGAACAACTTTTACCACACTACCAATACGATAATGTAAAGAATATTGGAGATATTTCGACATTTGATAGATTATTTTCAATGTGACATATTCACTTTTGTTTTCTGGTTTTACATGTGAATGTATTTTTAATAATGTATCATACTGCAAAATATCGTGTTGAAAATAGCACTTCTCTAACATTGAAATATAAGGCAAAATTTGTTTTCGTTGCATAAAAAACTACTTTTTTGAATATTCGTCACTTTGAAATGAAAAACTACTTTTTTAAGACTCGCCACTTTGAAAATAAGCAATTTAATTAGTTAAAACTTCGCGAACTTGATAATCAGAATAACTCATACTCAACTTTCACGTAACGAAAAATAAATGCAGAAACAATTTAGAGATACCAAAAAAATGTATGAGTATGCATGTGGATAAATTGGCTCATAAAATCAACATTGGGGAGGTTTATGGGTTTGTTTGTTTATTTCTTTATTGTTTGATTGTTTTATTCTTTCCTTATTTACGCCACAAACAGTTAAAAACTGTGACGTGCTGTGGGTAAAAGTTAATTTGAACATACATATATGTCCAGAAGCAAACCAAGGGACCATCTCAGCATTTTCTCAAGAATTAGGGAAACTGGATTTGACTTGGAACTTAAACTTTTGTACCGAATTTAATCGTTAAGTGTCATCTGGCAAGGCGTTGTTAAATAATGTACGTGTATTATGTGTGAATGTTTTTAAGTGAGCAGTTGATACTGGCACCTGATGAATATGATTACTACGACGAGTGTTGCAGTTATAGATATGAGCGTGTGCTGAAAATATATTCCCGCACTGAAGTGAGATATTTTTGACAAAAAACACTGATTCATATATCAAGAGGCAAGTGATATTTTCCGTGACGCAAGGATAATCTCATTCGCATCGCCTTTGTTTCTCATTGTTAAGCAAAAACAGGATGGCCGAGAGAGTACGGCAAGTGAGCGGAGTAGTTCAGTCTTCAAGGCCGCCTGCGATTGGAGCATATAAGGCTCGCCCGGCAACCACGCAGGGTATTTGTGCATCGTACGACGGACTCCCAAGAGGTCTATTGGTCAGGCACCATGCAGGCTTTTCTCGTTGTAGCGGTGGTCTTCACCCTTGTTGCTACAAGTTCGGTGAGTGCTCAAACCTATTACTTTCAGTTGTTGTTAATCAAGTGCTTAACAGAAATGCAGAGTTATGGTAAATTATACATAAAATAACTAGTGGTGCTACAGAATGGCAGAGACTTTCCCGCACTAATTTATTTTATTAATGTATTCTAATTTATTTGGTTTGGGCTCGCTTTTCGGTATTCTCCATCCTCCTTCCAGCTGCCGTCTATCGCCGCCCAAATTACATTTTATAAAATATTTCCTCAGTTTTTTTAAATTTCCTAATAGGAGAACCGAAATATTATTTTAAGAATATCAAAGAACAGTAAAATGTCGTTCAGTAAGGCAATTTTCATTCTAAATTCTAATTCTAAATAAATTTGTAACTGATTTTAAGAAAATGGAATTTAAGCGTTACTGTGAAGGCGAAATTTGAAGATCTTTTTCACAGAATACGTTTGAGTTTTCGACAAAACTTTATTAGAAGGCATTTAAAAGCACATTAACTTATAAATGCCACAGTGATTAAAAACAGCTGAACATGTATTAACGGATTTGAAAAATTTAAAAAATTAGATTTATATAATTTTTGAAAAAACAACAATAAAAGAATTCTCCAAAACGAAATTTATGGCATATTTATCATTGCAATTAGCACTACGCCACTATTGGCCGTTGGAAAAGTTTGAGGAAAAATATTTTTGGAAATGGTGTTTCTGAGAAAATGGCGTTAGAACGTTTCTGATATTGCAAAATTTTGAGCTAAACAAATGAATGAAATTTTTGCCACATAATATTGAAAGATTTAGTGAACCAATTGCATTTTTTGCAGTTTTATTATGAATTATTTATCTAACAATAATTATTTCTTTAAAAAACAAGTTTTCATCTCCTGGTACTTAATGTAGAACCTTTTCTGTGGTTATTTGACATATACACATTTTATATTTCACAAAAGTTTGCCACAATATGTACTAATCTGAATCAATTTCGTTTTTTTGTCACACTTTAAAAAAATAATTAAAAAAAATTGTAAACATTTGTTTGCTAAAAAATGTCATTTATATTTGCTAATAATCTAAGAAATAGATCATAGCCGAACTAATTGACTTCGTTTTTTGTAATGTTTCGAAATTCCTATCGAAAAAAATACCCCATTTTCTTAGATAGTTTTTGAAGTACGATGAATGACAAAGAATAAAATATACGGCAAACGGTAAAATGTATGTGACACCTCAACCTCACGTTGAATAATAAACCCAACTACGCTCCCCCTTCCCATATATTGGCAACCTCGTGCCTTAAGAGAAGGTAATCTCGTATATAAGTAATGCAATCTTGAAAAGTGTCTGAAAGAATTTTGACGCTAGAGCCCCGAGTGAAAAAAAGGAAATTTAATCAAACCTGATACATATATTAATCAATTGTATTTCTTTTATATACCCATAAAGTCAATACAATCGTTTCTCATATTAAATATTGGCTTTAATATTTAATATTTGTAAGAGACATTCTCGTCATAACACTACGGCAATCCACTTCTATGTATAATCCTGCATCCGACACTAGGTAGAACTCTCTTCAGACAGTAGATTGAACAGCAGAAGCTTTCCTAGTGCCATCATTATGAGGAGGGGGATATCAGTGACCCTACGATGTTCTTTTTTTAATGCTTCGAATAA